TCCTCCTCTGCTCACACAAAGGGGTCTGCTCCTCTGCTCACACCTGTCTCACTGCTCCTCCTCCTCCTCCTCCTCCTCCTCCTCTGCTCACACAAAGGGGTCTGCTCCTCTGCTCACACTTGTCTCACTGCTCCTCCTCCGCGAGTATCCATCTCTCCTACACTGCGATCATTCCCGTTACTTTCTTTGTATCTCACTCAGACACTGCTAAAGTTATCTGACAGTTTTTTCGGAGGACCCGTTGCATACATAGCTGCCCGCGCGCCTGCCTGTTTACAAATCGCTTTTGGTGAAAATTTGACTTTACTTGTAAAAATGTTCTTTTGATCAAACGAAATCAAAGAGGTCCAGAGAAAGGGGTTTAGGGTTCCAAATTTGGAGTGCAGTCTGCCCTTTGGGGACCCTTGAACTAGTGTATTTATAAAATAAAATAAAAGGAAGGAAGATTGCGAGGCCCCTGTGTGGTGCGAGGCCCTGTGCGACGGCACAGGTCGCACAGCCCTTAGGACGGGCCTGCATGAATGGTTACAGTGGCCGCTCCACAGACCTGAGCTGTCCCCTGTAAGTCTAACTGTCACGTGAGCCGAGATTGTTGTGGTTGTCTTGCGTCCACATTCTCTCGTTTACATGGGCGCTCATGTTCTCGTGTACGTTTGCGCGCATGTTCTCTTGTATGTGCGCGCGCTGTCCTGTATTGTACTGGGGACGTGTGTGTGTGCCTTTAAGTGTGGGCGGACCGCCTCTCTCTGAGCTCCTCACTTTAACTTATTCTGTAGTACGAGTGAAGCATTTCTGCAGAGCGGCGTCCACGCGCGGATGTTTGTAATCTGTAATCTGCAGGAGGATTACTCTGGATCTATAATTTTACAGCGGAGCACTGCAGGAGTTTAGGTAAGACAACACTCTGCGTGTGCGTGTGTGTGTGTGCTGTGTGCGCGCGTGTGTGTGTGTTGACATGCTGGAAGTATGCTACAGGATAGTGCAAGATTATCATCTTCAACGTTCAAAATAACACATAATTTGCATGTAGAATTTTATAACTCCGTACCCTTAACTTTAACTCTCACCCTTAACCCTCACCCTTGCACTTAACCCTCACCCGCGTAACCCTCACAACAACCCCAACCCTAACCCTACACTGTTCGTCCACAGTCTTCAGTTGTGCGTAAGAGTAACACATCCCCGAAAATATGCGTTCCCAGTCAGCATTGTCCATCTGTCCATTGTCCACATGTGGACCCCCAGATGGACCAATGCACCAAGTCGGATGTTCACAGGTGTCAGGTGGACAGCTGCGGCCCCGCGCTCTGGTATTCCACTGTTCTGTGAATCCGGTAAGGTGAGCTCAGCGTCACAGGTCGAGCTGGTAGAGCTGCTCACACACCGCTGCAGGGGTGTGCTCTCCTGTCCTGATGTTAGAAAGGGTCCATGGTCCTAGTCCCAGACCAGAGACCAGATTGGAGACAAGTGACCAGAGACCAGAGGCCAGGGACCTGAGACCATTAATCAGAGGCCAGGGACCTGAGACCATTAATCAGAGGCCAGGGACCTGAGACCATTAATCAGAGACCAGGGACCTGAGACCATGAGACATGGAACCAGACCAGAGACCTGGAACCAGACCACAGACGTGGGATTAGACCAGTGACCAGAAACCAGTCTCAGGATGTTTGTGAACACGCTGTAGTCAACATTAGGAAGGAGCACATAAGAGTATTACAGCTGCTGTGGTTCTAGAACAGTATAATATACACAGCTGCTGTGGTTCTAGAACAGTATAATATACACAGCTGCTGCGGTTCTAGAACAGTATGATATACACAGCTGCTGTGGTTCTAGAACAGTATGATATACACAGCTGCTGTGGTTCTTGAACAGTATAATACACAGCTGCTGTGGTTCTAGAACAGTATCATACACAGCTGCTGTGGTTCTAGAACAGCATAATACACAGCTGCCTTGTTGAATAGTGGTTTTATTGTGTGTGTGTTATCTTGGCTTTTGTCTGCTGCTTGTAAAACTAAAGATAATAGTAAAATAAAGGGGAGTGTGTTTTTTGTTGAGTGGATGAACAGTTGTAGGATGTACAGCAGCTGTGGAACTGTTTTGATAAAAGATTATATCATAGAACAAACATGTTGTTGCATTTACATACTAATAAATATACCTTAAATACAAGTACTCAGCCTTACGTTCATAAAGTACAGAGAGGCTGCTGATAAGGGCAGTACTCACAGTACTCTGTACTCGGGGCACTTTGTCAAATTGCTGAAATGGGTGATGAAATATGTGTCAAACAAAGAGAGAGGACTGTTACAGCAGAGTTGAGCAAGAGAATGACTGGTTCAGCTGCAACAGGACATGGCTGTTTCTGTCATTTTAGCCACTATATATTTGTATATATATATATATATATATATATATATATATATATATACGTGTGTGTGTGTGCGCGCGCTGTGTTCACGCGTGTGTGTATAACACATAATTTGCATGTAGAATGTTAGAACTCCGTACTCTAACTTTAACTCTCACCCTTAACCCTCACCCTTGTGTGGGTATATATATGTGTATGTATGTATATATGTGTGTGCGTGTGTGTATATATATACATATGTGTGTGTATATGTAAAATGAATGATTAAAATATTAAATACAGTTGACTCACGATTAATCACAAATAATCACACATGGTTCCCTGTTCTAAATATCCCTTGATTTGGTTTGAAAGGGGATTGGATGAAGCAAAGTATATGAATCCAATCCCCTCCAAACTAAATGTAGACACAATGGAAATGTCTCTAATAAAGATAATTATTTTGTTTATGTTTGCATTCAAGTCAGTTATATGTATTATTACAGTGTTTGTGACGATCACCGCAGTGGAAACAACTATAGCTTTAACGTTCGGGCTGTGACCTCCCGATAGTTGTAATTATGACCCTGTCCCTGACCCTCACAGATGTCCAGAAATCAGCAGAGAGCACTACTGTTGTTGTTTTCGCCCACGCCTGCTGTACCTTACGTCTTTTACGCAGCTCAGCGTCTGTTGAAGCGGAAAGTCTCCTAGGGCGACGCAGGGCTGATTTTAGATATGTATACAAATATTAATTTATATACATGTAAGATGTATGACACATGATTATGCAATTATGCAGCAGTATTCTGAACCTGAATTGGAGAAGGTCATAGGGTGTGACTTTGTGGATGTCACTACATTTAAGAAAGGACATTTATGTTAATATTTAAGGCAATCCAATACATATACTTTTCTACTTTACAAAGTTCTGCTATAGGGAAACATGAAATCAAACCATATCCCATCATAAGTTAGTGTAGATAGTATTGTTTCTTGAGCTGCAGTGAGAACAGCAAATTTAACAACATTCTCTCTTTCTTATAATTTCTGCTGAATAACCTGAACATTTCCAGAGACATTCTTAAGGTTTTCTTTATTTATCCCCGTAGGGCAATTTGTTCTCTGCATTTGACCCATCCTTTAATGTACGACTGCATTAGTCCTGGGGACGAGGGAGGACGAGGAGGGAGGAGGGGAGAAGGGAAGAAGAAGAGGGAGGAGGAGGAGGAGGAGGAGGAGGAGGAGGAGGGAGGATGAGGAAGACAAGGAAAGAGGATAAGGGAGGACGAGGAGGAAGGATGAGGGAGGAAGACAAGAGAGGACAAGGAAGGAGAAGGAAGGAGAAGGAGGGATACTGAGGGAGGAGGACGGGGAATTCTGCTGAATTTGGATGTATCCCTGTGTGTCTGGACTCTGAGGTTTCTAGACTTAAAAAAATATGCAATAATCAAATGAAGATATATCTTTGCCATATCAATATCGTACTTGCCATTATCGTGAAGACAATGCCTTTTTGATATAGTCTTCTGTCAAAGGAGACCTCTGAAGCTCAGCAGGGCAAGGCCTGGTTAGTTTTGTGATGGGAGGCCTCTGGGAATACCAGGTGCTACAGTGGGGCAGCCGTAGCTGTAAAGTGCCAAACTGTGTTGTACCCACATTAGAATGAGTCTGGTGTGTGAATGGTTGATGGTAGTGGGAGGGGTCAATAGCACATACTGGTTGCCTTGCTTCTGTCACTGTGCCCCAGGGCAGCTGTGGCTACCATAATAGGTGTATGGAGTGAATGAAGAATGCTGTGAAGTCTCATTGCATAGCATTGTATAAAACCAAAAGAGATCGAAAGAGCAGCAGTAATGGCTGGTATCTGACTGATGTCTTGGGGCAGCTGTGGCTGATGTCGTGGCGCAGCTGTAGCTGTAAACACTGTTTACAGCCACAGCTGCAGCTGTGGACTTGAACCTGTCGTTGCATCACTCTGCTTTTGTAACAGGAGAGGCAGCTCTTTGTCTGCTGTTCTGGTCCAGTGAGATCAGAGAGCTGTCACTCCACTGCAGACTGATCTGAGATCGGCTGAGAACATGCTGTGTGTTTCTTTTTTGACTCTTTATGGAATTAAATTACTTTATTGTCCCTTAAGATGAATATAATGTGATTTTTACACACAACAGATATTTTGGAGATTATGAATCATTCTTTATTAGTGATTGTGTGGAGCCCATGATAATGACCTCAAAATCCTTCTGACCCTGAGTATTAGTCTCCATCCCACAGTCCTCAGAAGTCTCCATCCCTACTTAAAATATGTCCAAAACAATGACTTTTTTCAACCCTCTCCGTTCCTCCTAACCCTCACCCTCAGCCCTCATCTTCAGTCTTCACCCTCAGCCCTCTCCCTCAACCTCTCCCTAACCCACAGCCCTCACCCCTCAACCTCTTCCTTACCCTCAGCCCTCACCCCTCAACCTCTCCCTATTCCTCAGTCGTTAACCTCCCCCTAACCCTCAGCCCTCTTCCTCACCTTCAGCCCTCACTTTGGCCTTTGCTAAGCTGTGTGTACTTATTTGTAATGTGTTTCCTCTTTCTGTTCTGGCCAGCCGGGCAATCCCAGAGTTTGGTTTTGATGCGACTCGAGGCCTGGAGCATGTCCACAGTGGGCCTGACTGCCCAGGAGACCTCTTTCCCTCTCAAGAACCCCCTCCTCTGGAGCAGCTGTGGCGACAGCATGGACTCAAAGTCGTCCTGGTGGTCCCCTCATGAAAGGTGAGTGTGGAAGAGTGATAGTAACCATAACACTAGTCCACTTTTTCCCTATAGACCAGCCCTAACCCTAGTTCATTGTGTCCTGGCGTCTACCCCTAACCTCCTCTGTTTTTCACATTTTCAGTCTGAAAGCAGCCTACACAGATCCAAAGTTTCATGCATTCCACAAAAAGTCTCCGCCTCAGTCTCCGAGTCATGAAAGTAAGTTCTGCTTCAGAGACATCAGTAGGATTAACGCCTTCTGCAGGATCTTTTCCTTCTGAAGACTAACTCCTTCTGTTGTCCGTAGGGCACAAACACAGTCCGGGAACACAGAGGCTCCCAAAGAAGTCCCAACCGTCCTACCTGTCCTTGAGCTCCACACCCGAGCCCTCAGGTACCAGTTCCTCAGAGGAGCTCCCCAGTCTACCCAGTCTGCCTCAGCACAGAAACAGCTCTCCCCCACACACGCAAGGCCGGGGCTCCAAGCCCCTGCCCCCCCTCCCCAGGGACCAGGACTCTGTGCGCAGCTTAGACAATGATGAATATTTTTGTTTGGACGAAAAATCTCGGCTTTTAGAGGATCAAGTCATTAAACCTGTGAGATCTGGACATGGGCGACAAAGCCTCAGAATTCGCGGGAAAGTGAACCAAGGCTTCTGCGAGAGACCCATACCCACAGCCCAGCCTCAGCACACGGGACAGCCTCAGCTGGAGATTCGTCACACATCAAACCATCACCAACCTCTGGAGAGACACGACTCTCGACACGAGCCAGGGCAGCTATGTCCCCGGCAGACTCCAGACCGGCCCCAGAAACAGATCCGCCGCACTAAGTCTGGTCCAGCAGGGTCTTTTAGCAAACCCTGTTTGTTGAACCAGTCCAAACGCAGCACAAACAGAACTGAAGTCCCCCCTCCCATCCCCCCACGGCTCCGAGCTGACGACCGTGATGAACCCTGTTTCGTGAACCAGTCCAAACGCAGCACAAACAGAACTGAAGTCCCCCCAAAACTCCCCCCACGAGATCCGCTCTGCAGAGGCTGCTCCCGCACCCCCAGCTTTAAGGGCCTGCCGCCGTACAAGAACAGAGAGATGCCGCCAACCCAGAGCTTTGCCCCGGACCCCAAATACGTTTATCGAGGATTAAGGAGACAGAATAGCGAAGGCTCGCCGTGCATCGTCCCTGTCATTGAAAACGGACACAAAGTCAGCAACACTCACTACTTTCTGATGGACGGCCCTCCAGCCCGAGCCATGGGTTCTCACAGCCCCGAGTTGGACTTCCACAAAAATCCACCTGTGGATTTAGTCTGAGGACCTTTGGAACTCTTTTGGAGCCGCAGCTTTTGTAACAGACTCTGGTGAACACAGGGTGTTAGAGTGTTTGTGTACATCAGTTACTGGTTACTGTGGTTTAACGCTGAGATACGAAAGCTCTCAAGGTTTAAAAAAAAAAAGATTCAAAAGAGACAACATTTTTGTAATGTTTTTGTTGTTGTATTGCGGACACGCCGGGCTTGGACCTCATTGTGTTGACTCTTTGGTCGCGGGACACGCCAGGCTTGGACCTTGTGCTCAGTGTTTGTCTGGGTTTCATACTTTGTGAGTTAAACGGTACACTAGGTCAGTATCCACTTTTTCTATGAAGTCAAACTGCTGGAATATGAAGGATTTAAGTACAAAATGCTGTTTTTTTTGTAGCAGGTTTTCTGCTGTCGCTCGTTGATGATGATGACAGTACTTTGCTGTTTGTGTTTTTGTTGTATGTCTGGTCAAGCTGTGAGACTTTGGTTGATATTAATGTGTCTGTCTCTGTGTGTGTGTGTCTGTGTCTCAGCAACTGTTTTAAGGCACCTTTTTTCTAGTTGAGTGCTGGCTCATTTAACAACATTTTTGGACATCTTTCAACATTTCTGGACAGTGGTCATCCCCCTTCCTCTGGACCAAAGGCTCTTTGTGTTTTTATTGTGCATTTTGTGTGTTTGATGGTCTGACCTGTGGTGACAAATCAACAACCCCTCCAAGATAACTACTGTTGTGGTTTAGAGCTTTACAAAATCAAATGGAATTGAGTTGGCCTGGGTCAGGGTATAGCGTTGAATCAAGCTCACTGGATTCAGCATAAAAACGTTTAAGAAGAAAACCAGAATTTTTTTTTTTTTTTTTTTTTAAAGTTAAGAGTTAAAGCTGAGCTACCTAACTTTTACACCCAACAGATCAGACCACAACATGCCGTATGTATTGTTAGGAAATGTATAGAAAGAGCCCTGTGAGTCACTATTTGACTGCTTTGGGCTGAGAGAGCTGTTGAGTGTGCGAGGTCCTCTCTGATCTAAAGACAAAATGCAGAACAATGCGGAAAAAAAGATGACATAACAAAAACTGTTTTGGGGGCGAGGCACTGTGGTTCTATTATTGTGGTCTGAAAGTCAGGTACCCCAGCTTTAGATGAAGTCTGTTTGACCCTGATGTCCCTGAACACACCGTACTCAGCTGCACAGACACAGACCTGAACACAGACCTTTCCAGTTGGACTCGTGCATTCCTGAGTCACATGACGCAGTGGGCGTGGCCTCTGACACTTGCTGCTGGCAGCTCTGAAAACTGTTCAAACTCTGGGTAAAAATGTAGCATTTGTTTTTTGATGCTCACGTCAAAACGCGGACATTGAAGTTTTTAGTTTGTTGGTTTCTCCTCACAGAATGTTTACACCAAACACTGTTTAATCTTAGTCTTTGACGATGAAGAATATGTGACATGAAGAGAACAGTGCACAGTATTGGATTCCATTTGTATGAAGTATGTGATCTTTGAAGAAAAGATACAAATAAAGATATTATTTATGATTTCCTTCCTGCTTCTTTGTATTCTGTGTGCTCAGCTGTTTGTCCTGTTTATCAGCAACACGCCTCCTGTGCATTAGGCCCTACTGTGCCCTAGTGTACCTCCTGCTGGGCCCTAGTGTGTCAGACACACACCTCCTGCTCATTGATGTATAATGATCGTGTACTTCCTGCTGTTAGTGTGCCTCCTGCCGACTGGACAGATTTGCACCACTAGAGGGAGCTGGAGAGTCTTTCAATCAGTAACTTCTGACACACAGACTCACGTAAAGATACTGGAGAAGATTAAAAAACAGGACATTCTTTTGAGCCGCTTTTCATACATTAAACTTTGCAGCTTTAACTAAAATCCTATGGAAGCTTAAATTAGTTTTCCTCATATAAAATGTTTTACATTTAGCATTGTGAAGATAGTGCACTGAACCAACAATTAAGAGTTGTATCAATTAGCAATTTATTTTGGTTTAAATTCACATGAAACATCACAGTAATATATAATTAGATCTATCAGGTCTGTCTCTGCTCTAACTGTTTACAGACCCCAACAACTGACCAGTCCAGCAGAGGCAATGGTAATAATAATAATAGCAGTTATCTGTGTGAAATCACAGCTCTTCCTCTCCGGAGTTCTCTGTCTCACCAGTCCTTTTCTATATTTATAATATTGGTAATAATAGCAGTAGTCTGTGTGACATCACAGCTCTTCCTCTCTCTCTCTGGAGCTCTCAGTCAGAGCTGCTGCCCTGCGACGCTCTGCTTCAGTCACCGTCATCGGATGAAGAGGGAAAAACCCAGCTAAACCTGCAGAAAACAGCAGAAGTAAAACACCAGGAAACGCATAAAAGCATGAAAATAATTGTGATTCTGATGTATGTTATATATATATATATATATAAACATACATCAGAAACACAATTATTTTCATTGCCATTGTAAGTAACAGGAAGTCACAAACTAGGATTGTGCTTAAGCTAAATGGGCATGCATAAAAAAACAAATCTTCATAAAATGTCTTACTGAGAGCGCCAAGTACACAATAGACATTTAGGAATCTAACAGAAATCTGTGGAAAGACCTTAAAACTGCTGTTCACGAACGCTCTCAATCTAATTTGACAGAACTGGAGTTGTTTTGTAGAGATAAACTTTGTATCTCTAGATGTGCAAATCTTGGAGATTCATGTCCCAAAAGACTTTCTGCTAATAATGCAGTAAGGGGTTTCCACAAAGTATAACTCATGCTGTATGAATACAGCATTAACTCAGCATTTATAGGTGTTTTAAACATAAGGACACCTTTAAACCTAATATTGTTTATAGGTGTCTTTATGTTTATGGATTTAAACCTGGCAAAATGTGCAAATTTTCAAGGCATTGTGTCAAATAACACTGAGTCTAAAGTTGAACAGCCGCTGTCCTTGAGCTCCTCCACTAAAACCAAGAAGTCACACAAACATGTTAACACATGTGTTTGAGTTTGCTCTAACCCTAACCCTCCAACTCTGATAGGGTTAGTGTTAGCTCTTTAACCCTAACCTTATCATTATCACACATGGGTAATGACAGTAACACACACACACCCAGAAGCTTGGACACTGGTTTGCTGGTGTGCGCTCCACAGCCAATCCAGTACTTGATGCGGTCGAAGTTGAGGCTCACTAGTTTCTCGTTGTAAATGTTGGGGAGTGGGTCATACGTCCCGAGCTGCTCCATGTACTTCCCGTCCCGCGCTCTCTTGTTGAACGCGGCCACGATACGGTAGAAGGGTCTGTTGGCCTGGTTGTGTCCAGCGAGGGCCAGCCGGATGACCACATGACCTCCATGGTACTGCTTCGACAGTAGAGACGCTGAGGAAGAACACACAACTCTTAAAGCTGGGGGTTTGTAACTTTGTTATCATTAATAATACTTGTCTGTCTTAGCAACAGTCTTAGCAACAGTCTTAGCAACAGTCTTAGCAACAGTCTTAGCAACAGTCTTAGCAACAGTCTTAGCAACAGTCTTAGCAACAGTCTTAGCAACAGTCTTAGCAACAGTCTTAGCAACAGTCATGGCAACAGTCTTGGCAACAGTCTTGGCAACAGTCTTGGCAACAGTCTTAGCAACAGTCTTGGCAACAGTCTTGGCAACAGTCTTGGCAACAGTCTTGGAACGTGACCACCGCTGCCATCTCACTTTTTTCTCCTTTCATTTTCATTTCTTGTCAACTACATTAACTCGCAATGTTTACTACAACAAACCGGACACTTCTTGAAATTACATTATTGTGTATCGCGAAATGTGTAATGACTGAAATCATTGTGAACTAATGTATGATTAAGCACCCGCCCCTCGTCTTGCTACATGTACATACACTACATACAGTATACACATTATATAGTGTACTTACATAGATGGACCATGCTGCTTGGATAACAAGTCTGTGGATCAAAAAAAATCAGTGATGAATGAAGCAAAGTAAGAGCTAAATATATGTTATAACTCAATATTCGTAAATGTTTCAGAAGATATAAAGAAGAACCCATTAAAGATACATTTTAGTGAAGATCAAAGGAGATTCTGCTGACATTTCGTTTGCAAACATCACTTTGTAAAACACCCACGCGCACGCACGCACACGCAAACGCACACACACACACACACACACACACAGACACACACATTACCACGTTTCTTTGCGATAGGGATGGGGTAAATTCCTCTGATGTTAAAGTGTAATAAACATGGGTGAATGTGACTCTAGCACGCCGCCATGTTGTGAGAGGAAGTGACGGAGCAGCGGAGCAGCGGAATGGAGCATGATTGCCCCCTACAGGATCTGTGCGTGGGGTGCGTCCAAAGACAATGTCTTTCCCGCTTATTTACTCTCAGTGAGAACCATGAAAATAGAGACTCTGTGCTGACAGCGGCATTAACGCGTACTTAAAACTCCTACATTTAGACCAAACATAGAGCTGGTGTTTTTCATTAAAAACACAGCCTTCATTCTGAGGACAAACAGGAAAAGGAGGATAAAAAGGGGATTGTTTTTTGATGCTGGATGTTATCTTAGACTAAACTAAACCACATTTTCCTCATGATCTAAAATCTATAATCTATAAACCCCAATGTTTGACGAATGCAACCTTTACTAAAATACAAAATAGTAATGAATTAATGACGAGGAAAAAAATAAATAAAGACCAATGCCTTTAAGAGAAATACCTGGACATTTTACTTTCTTCAATTTATTGGTTCTTTTTGAAATTTTGTATTTTGAGAGGTGCTATACAAATAAATATCTATGATTATCATTATAATAAAAACACGAATTATTATGATTATTATAACAGTTGTCAATGTGAACATTATTTAGACACAGTCAGAGTGAGTGTCGTTACTCTGTAATCTGTGTAAAACTAGGTTAATAATAGTCCGAGCTAAAAAAAAAAAATATACACTCAAGTCAAAGAAGAAATCAGGAAACAAAACAGAGCCGTGGTCACACAGCCACTAGATATCGCTGTTGCTCCACAGCTCACAGGACAAGTCCTGCGAAAGCTGATCATGGATCTATGAGCTGATGCACAAAACAATAAAAGAAGGAACACTTTCAGATGTCAATGTTTTGCATTTTATCCAAGCGTAAAGCCTTCTTTATTTGTGTTTATTATTATTATTATTATTATTATTATCATTATTATTAATTTAAAAAAGGGACAAACATGTAAATAATACATTTACATGTTCTCAGTCTGAGGACAGAATAAAAAATGGTCAGAATGTCTCTTTGCATCATGTGAAGTATTACAGATGGTGATTGGTCGGTAGAAAGTGTGTGGAAACGTGTATTTACTTTTGTGCAAGGCCATGGAGAGACCTGTACACAAGCAGAGCTGTTTTATTTATTGATGGACATTTTATTGGAGGATAAACCCCATGAGATGTATCATCTTGTTTTCGTGGGGGGTCCTCATGATCAAATCCAAAAAACATAGAACAGCAGAGTAGATACAGTCAAATAAAACAAAACAAAACAAAATAGTTATAACAACAACAATAATAATAGACAGTAATAATAAAAAAACAAATATATAATAATGATAATACAACAAATACTTAGCACACATACTCACACACACCACACATACCACACAAGCTCTCACTTACCCACTCTTTACAGAGAGATTGTCGTAAGATACAGTAGTTATCATTTAATATGTGTACTTATTCATACATCCATGCATATAAACAGATATACATACACACACATATACATAATATATACATGTACACATACACATACATATACATGTATCCACACATACATACATATATACATAGACATATATACATATATCTAAGAGCATACACATATAAATAGATACCATACACTTACGTACATAAACAATTTTGGATACACATCGTATATTTAAGCTATATATGAGATGTTACAAACAAACAAAGTTCCAGTCACGAGGCGCCCGGACACAGAAAGCATAATTTCCAATTTCTGTCTTTATTCTTGGGACAGTGAAGAAGAGATGTTCATTGTGACGAAGACTATACTGTGACCTATAAGGCACTAAATATTGGGATATATAATAAGGATATTGAAAGTAAATACATTTAAATATAAGCTGAAGCCAGTGCAATTGTCTTCTACCTGAGGGTGTAAGCCATGACAACCGTTTGTACATTGTAGTGATGTGTCCTGTAGGGGCAGCGAAGAGCAAATCTGCACAGACTGTTGTCTGTTTAAAGTCTATTATCTCAGCCACAGGAAACCAGTGCAGAGACCTTGGAACTGGACTGATGTGATCATACTTTCTGGTTCTAGTCTAGTCAGAACTCGGGCTGCAGCATTTTGAATGTACTGCAACTGTTTTACAGCTTGTTTGGAGATGCAGTGAGCAGGCCATTACAGTAGTCTTACCTACTGGAGACCGAAGCATGGATAATAATCTCCAAGTCTGCTTTATGTTTTTAGGTGGTAAAAAGCTGCTGTTGTTAGTGAATTGATGTGGCAATTCAAATTGAAGTCTGAGTCCAGTATTACCTCTAGATTTCTGACTTGATTTGAAGGTTTAGGGAACAGAAGTGAGAGATGACGCTCTCTGTTTCTGGGGACCAAAGAAAATAATTTAAGTTTCGTGATGGATGTTGTTTTGCATCCACTCACTAATCTGTTGGTTACAGTGAAGGAGTGAAGACTTCTCTTGGACAGTTTCATCATACAGGTGCATGGTGAGTTAGCTCTACGAGCCTCGCTGGTTGTTGGATTGCAACAACAATGGTGAATGAGGGTGCAAAGATCCTGTGGGACTTTCAGATACAGACCGATCGAATAGTAATGGCAAACCAACTTGACATCGTGGTGGTAGACAAAGGGCAGAGGTAAGCTGAGGTGGTGGACCAGTGGGGGCGGGTCCTGGCTCAAAAGTGTCCACAATGACACGCTGACATGCTTGCAATACCACCCCAGGCCAATGGGGGTGGACCCGGAATAAGAATTAGCCAATGCTAACATATAGCATCTTCTTACCGCTCAAAAACAAAGCTCCGTTCCACATGTGTGTCAATGCAGAGGGGAGTGAATTTTTTTGGACCACTCAAGTTCAGTCGCTTTGAATTTTTGAAGTCACTGATGATGCAGATGCGTTTTTTCACATTTTCCCGCCCCTGCGGCCATTTTGAATCACTCCATGAGAGCCCAATTTTTGGCCCATTAGATAGAACGGCAGAGATAGGCGTGACTACATCCGTTTTAATATATACAGTCTGACGTGGGAATTCCAAAATTGAGAAAAAAGAACACAAAAAGCTTGAGAAATACCAAGGGCTCAGGGAGGAACTGGAGAGGGCCTGGAAGGTAAAGGTACCAGTCGTGCCCATGGTAATCGCTGCCCTCGGTGCAGTGGCCTCAAAGACGGAGGAGCGGTTACAGCAGGAACAAATCTCGGCCCAGAAATGTGCAGTGCTCGGAGCAGCAAAGATACTGCTTAGAGAGGGCTAAAGGCCTGCGGAGGACGAAAGGTGTGTTTATAAACTGAACTGAACTTTGACACTTTGACATTTGTTTTGGATGTGTAATTAATTCTACAGAACTTTATTTATATTGAAATCATAAGTGACATAAAACTTTCGGGAGTTTCCCAGATACTAATTATGAAGAAGAAAAAAAGTGTTTTTGTTGTCACAACGTCAATAAAAACACAAACAGAGGATGTGTGCCTCTGAGTAAGAGTTATAATTATACTGTGATGATGTAGTCATACGGCTCTGTATTAAAAACTATGGTGTATGAGCAGATCTGTCCTGGGGGGGGCTGTCTGAGGAGCGCAGTTTATTTGTATAGCTCGATTCATGCACAACAACATAATGGAGATGAGTTCCATTTAGTCTTGATTCATCACTGGTTTAACGCTCCAAGCTCCTGCACTTTTATTTTCAGACTGTTTTTGTAAATCTAGACTCAATCCCAAAAACCTGACCAATCAGGGGTGTCCTGTCCCTAAATTTGGCTGCAGGCAAAAACCGAGCGGCCACACCTTATTGGCTCTTTAGTTGCAAGGTAGTTAAAAGTCCCATTGAGAAAGAACCTCTTTTTCAAGGGAGTGTGTTGAAATCACTGGCGTTGAGAAACAGCCTCCAGAGTGGAACAGAACAGATACAGGGTGCTACGAGGGGCTGTTTCACAGCTGTGTGGAGAAAAAGTTGTGAACTCTCGGGCTGTAATGGCCTCAGCACTATTGTACATTTGGACATGCGCAGTAGGTGAAAACAAACGTAAATAGCAATTCGGGTGGATCAATGTGCTTCTAGTGTTACACGGAGGAGCAATTCTACTCCTTTGTCCGTCCAAACTAAACCCCTGCTACTGTTGCTACTGTTAAATGCAGAATAATGTAGATGCATTCTTTCCCATCGTTGCAGTGGCCAAAAGAGGATGTCGTTGTGTAGACGCTCATCACTTCGAATAAGGAGCGTGGTCGTTTTTGCAAACTGCTTTGCAGCATCTTCATCTAAACGGGGCCTCAGTCTATACTGTTTACTGTTTAAGGTTGTTAGTCATTTACCATAAAATTTAACATGAAAACATCACACACAAATTGCTTTTGATTTAAAATTCCTCAAACACACTGTTCCTGCTGTCTGATGATGAGGCCCTTTCTCAGAAGAAGAAGAGGCACATTTACTAATACTTTGACACTGATGGTGCTGATGTAACTCAGTGTGGCATAAATGTGGGTTTAAAGCTGAGGTACGTAACTTTCAGACACACTAGAACTCTGTATTAAACCCGTTTCTCTAGTACCTGTCTCTAAAACAGTTGCTTCTATCACTTGTTTTCACATCATGTAAAATAAAGCCTCTGTTACATCTTTAGATCAAATTTCAGACAGAAAAGTGAAAAAGAGAGGACCATCCGCACTCAGCCAATCAGCTTTCAGCCCAAACAGTCAAATATTGACTCCCAGGTTTTTTTTGTTTTTTTTACAGGTATACAAAGGATAAGACATTTTCTAAAATAGTGCAGACACAAAATGTCACCTTTATTAGAGTTTCTAGTGTGACAGAGGTTGAGTCTCCCCAGCTGTTAGTTATACAACATGGTGCTATACGATTCAATTAAATTGAACACATTGTGACCAGTACAGCGGTCAGATTAAAACGGATCTGTCTGATTGAAGAACTCTAGATAAACTCTCTAAGTACTGGATTATATGTTTTCAACTGTTTCTGCCTCGTTTATTGATCAGACTAACTACAGCATCACAAACAAAAGAGGAGTCATGAGAGGGAGGAGAGGAGGATGAGAAGGAGAGGGAGAGAGAAGGAGGAATGTGATGTTATGTGCAGGATCCTGTGGAAAACAGGAGGCCTTACAGACGGGAGCAGACCGAATGCATCAAACACGCTAAATCGGCAATGCGTGGATTTGTGAAGGCGAACATTGATTGGGCTTGTGGCTTGGGCTCTCGTGAGGACCTCATGCTTCTCCAG